TGCTTTTTGATTTGGTAATCTGGGACATGGCTATCTTTCCCCCCCCCCCCCTTTAAATTGTGGCCTGCAACCATAGTTAATGTGCTTTCAGCGTGCCCCCCTATATGTAGGGATCAGGAGGGAAAGCTCACCTCTTCTTTGTGATCTCTGCTTCATAAAGAAAAGAATTCAGGCAAAGGAATTTTAAAAGGAAGCTTAAAGTATATTGGTTTTAAGACTGTGAATAATCATTAATGTTACCGGTAAAGTTAAGTGTAGAAGCATTGCTAGATCTCCTCATAATACTGAAATGGGAGGTGCCTGAGCATGGCGTAGCCCTGCTGCGTGCTTGGTGTTGGGCGCTGTGATTTGGGGTGCGTGGTGTAAAACCTGCACCCTCGAAGCTGCGGGTCTGCTGCGTCTTCCTGTCTCATCGTAACACTGCAATAAAACAGAGTTAACAAATTGGCTCCTTGAGATTTTTGCTCTTTGAGTTGAAATGAAAGATAATTAGGAGATTACAGTTAATTGGTAAAAACATTTTAAATTTAGACTCTAGGATATCCTTTTTAGGTAATGCCTAATGAATTTGAATAAAATATATCTTTTTATACCTGTTTGGCCTGCCATTGCTACTTCTCCAGAAAGTAAGCTAAAAACCACTTGTACCAACAATTGACAGAAAAATCAGTGTTCCCTCTCACTTAACTGAACTTGTAATGAAATGGGTTTAGGGATTTCATTTATTAAACGCGTTATAGTGACAATAATTTTTTTTTAAAAATGCATCTTACTTTCAGGAAAATAACATGTAGGCAATTTATTTGAGTCATTGCTTTACTGTTAGCAGTAGCAGATTATATTATACAATTTATATGAATAAATTACCAAAATTAAACTACTTGTATGTTTGTTAGCCGAGGGAGCAGGGCGGGAGGGGGTTGGAATGAGATTACCAGACCTGACTAATAAAACTGTGGATTTGGCCCTCTGCTGGGTGATGCTAGGAAATGCATGTTTTTAATACCAGCACACATATGTTGAGCAATTAAAATGTATTCAGCATTTTGTGAGTGCATTAAAATATAACCAGTCTTATCTGGGAACCTGTCAGCTACTAAAGTGTTAGATAGTTCGTCTAATTTGAGAATGAAAAGTTAATCTTTCTTTCCTCTCCCCAGTTTTCTAGACAAGATTGACATAGTCAAACAAAATGAGTATACACCGTCTGACCAGGTAAGGAAAGTTTCATTAAGAAATTACACAGTTTAACTGCCCCCTCCGTCTCTGAGGATAACTATCTCATTAATTTTCTAATTGCCATTTGTGGCACTAATACAGGTATTACCATATACTGTACGTATTTAGTATTCCAGTAAAAATTACTTAGGCATTTGGATTGAGGTTATGTTTATACCCCTACTGTGAAATGAAAATCTGCCTAGATTCAAGACTTGCATCGTGCTTCTGTGACACTAAAACTCAAATAGCCATTTGAATTAGTAATTTATAATGTTTTGCCCTCCTTGCTGAATAACCATCATGCACTTTCTTTGACACAAAGTTGGTTGGTATCTTCTCAGCCCCACGGGCTCCCACTGTAAAGCAGGTTTTGTAAAAATAACCTCGTTAGAACATACGTATCAGAACAGAAATTGTAGGTTTCCTTTTGTTACAGATAATCTGAGGATCTTTTTAGGACCGAATCCCTAATCCAAAATCACATGCATATTCCTCACTGTCTGCACATAAATAATGCGATTAAGCATCTAGCATACTTTTATAGGATAAATAACCAGAAAACATATTAATGTCCCAAAATTTTCGCAGACAGTAGTGATGAGGAGAGAGCAGTTTCTATCCCTTGAAGTTCTTCAAGAATAAATTGATCATTCATCCTTTTAAAAATCTGAAATTTTTTACAATTGAGACTTTCTTACCACTGAAATAATTGTATTTTCAAGAAACAAAATATTAAAAATATAGGTGGTTATATATGACATTTGGAGCAACTTATCTTCAGATATGAAACTTTAAAACAAGTATCAGTTTATATTGGAGGCTAAGGGTGTCGAGTTTAACTTGTATTTACACTTAGTATATAGTACTAAGTATAGTACTTACAGTAATTACTTAGGGTGAGTATTTAAGTAGTTAAGTAAAATTACATACTTTTACTTCTGTAAGTAACAGTAAGCACAAGTACTTACAGCGCTTGTTTGGGACCGTTGGCAGCACTGGAACTCCCCACAAGCATACTGTAAAACAGGCCCATTTGGATTATCCTCCGGAATGTTACATGTTTCTCTTAAAAGAACCCCCGCGTGTAATAATCACATCACTTCCTTTTTTTTTTTTCCCCCTTGAGGTGGGTGCTGCTTTTTTTTTTTTTTTTTTTTTTTTTTAACATCACACTTGTATTGATTTCTAGAGGTGCAGAGCTCCAGACACCAGTTTTCCAAATTTGCTTCTGTTCATTGGGGCATTTGAATTTTCAAACTATTTCAAACACAAGTTAGAACAATGTTTAAATATATACGTATTTCAATGTGAGTATTAAAATAGCCAGACAATGATAGTTTACTGTCAGAAAATTGGTGTTAAAATGTAGCCATTTTGTTTAATGATTTAACAGTGTTGTCTAACCTTTGGATTTTGTGTGGGTTTGACTTTGACTAACCAATTTGGTACCCATGTAGCAAGAACAGAGCTTTTATTGTGCATATAACTTCTTTTACAGTCTGTTCTGCTTACATGATCTCGTCTGCTGCAAATGTTACAATTTATCTGCTATTTAGACCCTTTATGAAGAACACCAAAACTTTAAGCCCTAAAGTATCAAACCTTTAGTTGAATTCGGAGTGGTATCTTGTAGTTGGTGATATTTGGACTGCGTACTCAATCTGCAGCCTGTGCATATTAGGTTCTTCTATATCAGTTACCCACTAGGCACTCTATATGGCTGTCACTGCTTTGCAGTACCCAGTAAATAAAAGCCAATGCAGTTTGGTTTTAATAGGATTTTGTAGCACTTACGACTGTAGCTCACAGCTTCTGATTATCATTTTTGGCTCTACAGGAAATTTCAAATTTTATAAGCCTGGTTCCTACAAGGTTTAAATGTTTGAGCTCCCAGTTCTTTGAATGCAAAAAAAAATGAAAAATTCTGAGACCTAGACACTTCTTTTAATAGCCGAGCACTGAAACGCTGGGAGAGAGATCTGTCTTCTGGGCTTGGGAATTATTTGGGGGCAGTTTAAAGATCGCGTTGTGTGCCACGATCCACTGAAATCTGTGAACGCATCATCTAATCTCTAGGGAGGGGTCTGCGCTGTTCTGGACACTTGGATTTGCTTTAAGTGGCCTGTAAATGTTTCCTCCTATTCCAAGCTTGGCAGTTACAACTTGCTTGTGAAAATATATGTCCTTTAAAAGTTGAGCATACCCATATGCGTGCACACATGTTCGAGATCAAAACCTTAAACGCAGCTTCGTAACGCTCTGTTCCCTCGTTTTGCCGTACCGCATACACTGGCAGCACTGGGTGAAAGGCTTTAATTGCTGTTGCTGGGTATATGAAGAACTGTGAAGTATCTGTGTTGAATCAATGACTTTTCCTTTATGCTCTAGGATCTTCTCAGATGCAGAGTTTTAACATCAGGAATTTTTGAAACCAAGTTTCAGGTGGATAAAGTAAATTTTCAGTAAGTATCCTTATTTTTTTCTTTTTTCTTTTTTTTTTTTTTTTTAATACAGTGCAGACAAACGCAAGGGTAACTTGGAGGACAGTCTACCATATAGTCATTGAGACTACCATATTTCTCAAGTTAATGTTTAATAGAAAGCAAGTATCTTATGATTTTTTTAAATTTTTTTAATTTAGTTGTCTGGCTTTTAAAAGAAATGCAGATTGGTGTGCGATTTTTCTGCTTTTATTTTAAATCACAAAGAACAAAAGTTTTTCAATCTATTTTTACTAACGCCTTTTCTGAGTATTTTGTTCATTGCTAGTTTAGATAGTGAAATATTTGGCCAAAAACTTGTACATGTCTAAGTAACAGAAAATGCACATTCTCTTTACTGTCCCAGGTTGGAAAGATTGCTCGACCCGAACAAAAACTGCTGAGTTTTACTCTGGTCTTGTTGACTTTAGCTCTATGATAGTTGTTTCAGCAAATTACTTGTGGTAGGACCTTTTTTAATGTCTTGGCTAGTAAGGGTGAAAAGGAATCTGCAATGTGCATACACCAGAATTCCTTATCTTCGAGTGTAGGTGGCAATGAAAGTAAACATAATTCTATTTTGTGATGAAAAGCTCTGCGTGTGTATGTTGGTGGACTGTTACCTCTTCCGGTTCTCATAATCCTCAATTCCTTTTAGCTTTTATGACATGGAAGTCCTAAAATTTCTTAAATTTTCTGTTTGCATTTGGGGAAAAAAACGCACGCAAAATGTATTGTGACTCAATTTTTGTTTTTTTCTTAGTATGTTTGATGTTGGAGGGCAACGAGATGAGCGCCGAAAATGGATCCAGTGTTTCAATGGTATGATTAGAACCTTTGTTTTAGAAAAGAGTTCTCTGCAAAATTTTAATGCCCAGTCTTAATTTTCTCACTGTGTGAAAGCCATCTTCTTTTCCACGTACTTTGATTAGGAATTACCTGAGCAGTCATGCAGGATGCCGTTTTTCTTGACATGTAAACTTCTGTAGGTGCATAGAATATCTTTAGGGATAATGTAGGTGGAAAGGAATTCAAGTTTGGTAACTTAACGTAGCTTGTCCAGTTTTTTTGGCTTCCCTCTCTTCATTTAATTTTTTTTTGGTGGTGAGTTTGTGCATTATTTGCCAGCTGTGTGAGTGTTAAAATTCCAAGCTATATTCTGCCTTCCACGTGAAGGTTTACATATGTTTGTGCCTATACAAAATATACAATTACAGGATAATTAATATATGCATGAAATTAGACATCATATTTTTGCGCATAGTTGCACTTCTCTAGGAAGCCATGTGTATTAATATAATTTCTTGAAAAAACAGCCCTAAGGGGAAGGCCCTTACTGAAGATGTATAAGCATATACCCTCATTTAAGTAACCTGCATGTAAACTGGGTTCCTTAGAACGCTTGTATCAGGAGTGACAAGTCATATAAGGAGGGGCTGAGGGAACTGGGGTTGTTTAGTCTGGAGAAGAGGAGGCTGAGGGGAGACCTGATCGCCCTCTACAGCTGCCTGACAGGAGGCTGTAGCCAGGTGGGGGTCGGCCTCTTCTCCCTGGCAACGGGCGATAGGGCGAGGGGGAATGGTCTGAAGTTGTGCCAGGGCAGGGTTAGGTTGGACACTAGGAAAAACTTCTTCACCAAAAGGGTTGCCAGGCTCTGGAATGGGCTGCCCAGGGAGGTGGTCGAGTCCCCATCCCTGGAGGGATTTAAAAGAAGGGCAGATGAGGTGCTTAGGGACATGGTTTAGCGGTGGGATGGCAGGGTTAGGTTAAAGGTTGGACTCGATGATCTTAAAGGTCTTTTCCAACCAAAGTGATTCTGTGATTCTACCTTCGCTACAGCTGTTTATTTTACTCTGTGTCTCTGTTTAGATGGGAAATCTTTCTCCACACAACTTTTCTTAAAGCTAGAATTGGTGAAAATCTTTTTGTCTTCATTGTTTGGATAAAATACTTATGAAGCTATGCAGAGTCTTTTTCTAGAAAAGTTATAATGAGATCCTATAGAACAGACAAAGTAGAATATGACTTAGAATTCATCGTATTCTGCTATGGTTACTGTCACAGAGTGTCACCTGAACACTTCATGTGTGTGTGTGGAACTACTGTGCAATATTTTCTTCCGTGCTATTAATAACAGATTTGTTTGGGTTTTACCTCTGCTCCTTCCTCTTCCTGTTACCTCATCATCTGACTCATCTCTTCGGCTGTTGATGTCTGAGGCAGATGAGCCTGGAAGTCAGCGTTAAGGGGTCTGGAGCAGCACAGCCACACACAGACACAGAGCTCTGGACTCTGTGATCCTGGGAATATCTCCCAGGAAAGAGATAGGGGCCTCCAGGCAGTATGGTACGCTATAGGAGGACTAGAGCAATCAACCATGAATTCACAGCAATCTAGTATTTTTGTTATTACTCTTCACGCAGATCAAAAGTGCCACATTTGTCCTGAGGTCTTGCCCCAAGGGCCTCCCTGCCCTTTCTCGGTAGCTCAGAGTTGCTTTCTAAATTTCTTTACACCTTTAAAATATTTTCTAAATTCTCCTCTGGGCTTTCTTCAGTTTCTTGCTTCTGTTCCTTTCTTTTCTACATTTTCTGTCATTCTGTCAGCTTCGGTTCTGTTGCCTGCCTTTCCTATCTTTAATGGCTTCTTCACTTTCTTTTTTTTATTTCTGGTACTTAAAAAGCTGTCAGCAATAGCATTCCAGCCTGTTCTCTTCGTTAAGATGGAAATCTGGCAGCTTTTTATTGAACTTTGGGATTCCTGGATATTTCTTCTGAAGTTTGGTATTAACTAATAGGTATTTCTTGATTTAGATGTGACTGCTATCATATTTGTGGTGGCGAGCAGTAGCTACAACATGGTTATAAGAGAGGACAATCAGACCAATCGGCTTCAAGAAGCACTAAACCTCTTCAAGAGTATCTGGAACAACAGGTCTGTGAATTGAAGTTTCATTGTTCAGATCACATCCATTAGTAATCCTGTCTCATACTATAGTCAAGACTTGCGTACGGGGCCTGGCTAGGATAGAGTTCATTTTATTCATAGCAGCACATATGGTGCTGTGGTATAGATTTTGACCGAAACAGTACTGATAACACACTGATGTTGTAGCTGTTGCTGAACGGTGTTGGTGGAGCATCAAGGCCTTCTCTGTTTCTCACTCTCTCCCCCGCAAGTGAACAGATTGGGGGTGCGGAACAGGCTGGGAGGGGACACAAGCGGGCAGATGACCCAAACTAACCAAAGAGGTATTCCGTACCGTGTGGCATCATGCTCAGCAATCAAAGGGGAAGGGGGGGTTAGGAGGGTTAGCCATCTTGGTCTACCAAGACCAGTATTGGTCTACCCACGGGAGGTGGTGAGTGATTGCCTTTGCATCACTTGTTTTGTTTTCTTCTCTCTTCCACTTATCCTTCACTTATTAAACAATTATTTTTATTTTTTTTTTCTCTTGACCCCCAAATTTTCTTGCTTTTATTTTTCTTTTCCCCTTCCTCCGTCCCACTGAGGGAGAAGGTGAGTGAGCGGCTGCATGGGTTAACCCACAACGGCAGCCTCGCCTGTGCTATTTGCTTCTCACGGCGCAGTCCAAGCTAGTCGTCAATCACAACTGCTACCTGTGACATTCATGTCTAATACACTCATCTAATTGAAGAAAACTCTAGAGCGTTACAAATTGGTAGTTGCCATATTGAGGCTGAAGTAATTAAAGCAGTGATAGAGTAGCACAGTAAAAAGTGGACACGCTCGCCTGTTTGACGTATTTGGATTAGCAGCAGAAAGTGGGCAGCTTCCATTGCCTGCATTACAAGCACACAAACCAAAGTCAGGGTGTGTACATCCAGAATTACACCACTGGATTCTGGTGTAAAAGGAACCTTTCAGAATTATCACAGTGTGTCATATGACTCTTGTCTCCAGAACTGGATTAAGTTTGTTTTTCTGTATGATCCTAGCTGTGCCTTCTCAGAGTGTTTGGTTTCAATTTTCTACAGGTGGCTACGGACCATTTCAGTAATTCTTTTCCTGAATAAACAAGATTTGCTAGCAGAGAAAGTTTTGGCAGGGAAATCTAAAATTGAAGACTACTTTCCAGAATTTGCTCGCTACACTACACCAGATGATGGTAAGATTTTTAAAGTTTTATTAGCAATTTATCATTTCCTTGTTAATCACATCTGTAATGTTCTTGGTAATTTCAGCCAAGACTAGAAAACTCTTAAGTAGATGTAAACTTCATTGTCTTTCAGCCAAATTGTAATGTTAAATTTTAGGTATTAATAATGAGAGAATCCTGTCTTTTATACATTTAATATATTAATAATTTCATTATGCCAAAGTCCTGTTACTTTGCTGGTGTAGACCACAGAACAGCTTGTCACAAACACATCCTCCGAACTCCCCGTAGTCATATCTGTGGTCATTTCTCCAACCTGCCAAGCGCCTGGTACTATGACCACTGTAATATTCATTTGTTCTCCTGAAATCTTGCTGGTTTAAATAATATGTTACGGTTTGTCTTCTCTCATAGTCAGTTTTGCGAAGTACGTTTCTATCATATGTGAGCAGAATACAGAACAAGTTAAGATTTTTAGGCGCTATCACCAAAAAACATCTGTTTTAATGAGATACTTCTTTTGTTATTAATCAGCAACACCAGAGCCTGGTGAGGATCCCAGAGTTACAAGGGCCAAGTATTTTATTAGAGACGAGTTTCTTGTAAGTATTTCCTGTCTTTCAGTATTTCTTACATGATTCTTCTCAAATAGAAGCTCTTACGCACCTTCTACTATTGCAAAATGCTGTCACTTCTCACGTTGTTTATATTTAACATCCACACTGCATAGAACACTTGTGTTTAAGAGCGTTACTGCTGTTTGTTAGCTGCTCTTCGGATATTTGTTTGTTGACACGGTACATAAGTAAATAGCAAAAGAATTGGTGAGAATTAAGAAACCTCAAATAGAATGAGTGAAGTCCTTCTATTATTAACGGGGCCAAGTTTTTATTTTATGCATTGTTTCTAAAGGTAAAGACTAATCAAAAGATGCATCATCTGTAAAATATTCATGTTCTTTTCATATTATCTTTCCCATTATTGAATGGTCAGCTGAAGCTATAAGAGACATAGGGTTCTTTTAAATACTACTACAATTACTTGTAATGGTGAGCATGGCAATCAAATTGTGGACTTACTTTAAAGTGGAGCAAAACAAAATTTTGAGGGTGGGTTTCTGTGGTTGTAAAGCAGGGATAAAAGCCTTGTACAAGGAAGCAAAATCCCACTCTCTACATGGACAAATCCACTAGGCGTTGTGTGGTTAAATTCACCAAAGCTGCATGTAAATAATAGCACTTTCTTGAGTTCTCATTCTACGCTGAAATTCCCTGGTATGGCAGTGGCCTTCTCACTGTCCACTTCTGATCATTTTAAATTTCACAGTTTAGGTGAGAGAGTGAAAAATTGTGGGCATTTTGCCACTCAGTTACACCCTTTGAAAGCACAACTCACGCATACTTAGCCTTCGTTCATCTGAGTTTCGAGAACATGGGAGGTTTTACCCAGTCAGTTTTATTTTAACCCAGTATCTGTCTCTTGCTTTTAACAGAGAATCAGCACAGCAAGTGGAGATGGAAGGCACTATTGCTATCCTCACTTCACGTGTGCAGTGGATACAGAGAACATCCGGAGGGTTTTCAATGACTGTCGGGACATTATTCAGCGCATGCACCTTCGCCAATACGAGTTGTTGTGATGGAGAGCACTTTTTTCTGTGTTTTGGACTCCTTATTCCTTATTAAAAAAAGAAAAAAACACACCCTTGCCCACATAGGGTGGAAGAGAACTGTTTGAATCTCCCATTGATTTGCACCCCTCAACTTTTTCTCCTTGCTGGACAATAGCAGCACTTCTAAGCTTGCTTCTGTACCCCTTGGACAGTTTGAGATGGCCCCTAACACTTAAAAGGCCATTTCCATGAGGATTCCCTAACACTGTTATTAACAAAAAAGAAAAAAAAAAAAAGAAATAAAAACTAATTAATTAAAAGCCCTGAATGTGGAGCACCTGAAAGAATTTGGGATAAAAATTTAAAAGATAAAACAAAAATTGGGGAGAGAAAACTTTAGGTAATTTAGCACTGTTGTGGGCATAATCATATAACCCGTGATCTCCACTTTGTATCATTCACTGCATCAGACTAAAGAAGGTGCCAAGTCACAGACCAAGTTTGAAGACAGACACTCGAGTTTGGTTCTCTGACTGTAATGTGGCTTTGAACGGAAATACTGACAATTCTACAACAGACCTAGACAGTGCAAAAACCAACTGCTACCTTTCAGAAGGGTATTTTTAAAACCAGTCTTGGTGGTCTAACGACAACCATGGACATTTATGAATTGAACTGTGTATGGCCTGTGATTGCAGAAAGAGTTAACCACACACTGTTTTCAGTTTGTCCACTGATGATCCCGTCTGCTATAAAAATCATTATCGGGACTGTAGTCCTCACAGTCTTTCCCTTCTTTTTCTTCTTCCCTCCCCTCATTTTTTATTTTACTGCTGGATTATTATTCTTGTACAGACTGTAAAATGTATTATTTTGTACAACTTTATTGAAAAAAAAATAACTTGTAGAAGATCTTTGTGCCTTGATTATGGCTGTACCTGTACAATGAGCTAAGATGTAAGTATGTTTGATTGCGCTGTACAGCTTTGTCAACCCTATCTGCAGCATTAGCTCAAGGTAGGGAAAATTTATCTGTAGTTTAGTTTTTCTGGTTTATAAAAGAAGGAAAAATACTGTTTAGTAAAAAAAAAAAAGAAAAAAAGAAAAAAAAAAGAAAAAAGTACAAATTGTGCAAACTTAACCACTTTAAAAGTGAGGTCTTCAACAAGTGACCAGATGTTGCAGCATCATGCTTTTTAATTTTTAGCTTTAATTCATTTAAATCTCTATCCAAATGCAAAACATGGCTTGTTTCTACATAAACCAAATTTTGCTACAAATTATAAATGTTAGTCTTTGGTCATTCATAGTCCTTTTTGCTAAAGACAAAACCAGAACAATAACAGACACGTAGGGCATCATGCAGGTCTGGTGACCATCTCTAGACTGGGCCAAGTACCCCACCAACCTCCACTCGCGCTGCGTGGGCACACGACTACCGGAGTGACAAGGTGTGCGCTGCCCTCGGATTTGGCCCCTGAATTCCAGTTTCAAACGACATTTTTATTTCTCTTTTAATAAAGAGATACTTTAGAACCCTTTTGTTTTATATTAACTATATAAGTAGCTTAAAGTGAAATGTGTGGATTTTTCTTAAACTTGAATAATTTATGCAAATTATATGCTTAGAACAACATGTGGTACAGTAAAAAGAAAAAGAGCAAAAATCACTGTAGCAATAAGAGAGCATGTAATTTTAGTAACTACTACACTGCTTTATATTTTATACCTAGGTGTTTTATGTCTCTGTGAGTGTGTTACTTTTTCATGTGTCTAAACCTACGTGTACAATTTGTACAGAGTCAGAAATTACAGCTGTAATAACACATCTAGAACAGTGTTAGCCTATATTACTCAAACACCCCTGTTCCCCCTTCATTTACACCCCTAAACTGATCTGGATCTTACTGCAGTGACTTTAAAAGGAAAACAAAAGAAACAAACACCAAAATACTTGCCTCTCTGCCTTTCACGCTAGCTTCCCTCCACCCAAGAGACTGCGTTAACTTTCTTTTTTTGGGAAGAGGTCCAGTTTAAATTAGCGTTAAGGTGTGGTCAGTGATGTCTGTGCAGCTAGATTTGCTTCAGGTATCAGATGCCTTGTCACTACTACGAACTGCAACTGTTCAGAATCGTGAGTTTTCATTGCTTCTGTGGCTAAACTTTTGAATGAAAAGTTGATCACCTGGTCCATTTTCACATCAAGAGCAGGGACTTGATGGAGGCACTGTCCCATCTCTCGTAATTCAAAATTACTAGTGATCTTCCAGAAGACACTAAATCGTCTACAGATTTTAGCTGCGGTTGCTAACTCATCTTTCAAAAATGATCTTTCCTGTTCACAGGTTTAGAAAGTTGCCACCTGAACTTTGTGGGGGAACATGACCGAAAATAGCCCCCTGCCATTGAAGAATGTATCCAGTGCCTGTAGGTTAAGGGCTGGTGTTCCCACTAGGTAAAAATGGGGCACACGTAGTGGAAAGGAAATTCATTGTGAGCCTTAATTTTAGTTACAGGAGCCAAAATCTTTAATTTAGGGCCAACCCTTATCTTTCTAAGCCTTGGAGGAGTTGGTGTAAACACCAAATTTATAAATGGGGAAAACCTGTAGTGGTGTGAGGAATGTAATCTCTCATTGAGAGAAACAGCATGTCCATTAAAAAAAAAAAAAAAAAATTAAAAAGCTTCTTCCTTGGATAATGAGGATGCGTAGTAACAGTGAGCTATGTAAGACAGCAACAGTTTAAGAAACCTAAAGCTTTATATGAACAGAAATGTTTAGGGGATGCTTTTTTCTTCCTTAAGTGAGGAAAAAGGCAATTGTTTTGAATAGGGTTGAGTTGCACAAGTATGGAGTGTGTGTGTGTCTTAATGTCTCAGTATTGCCTTTGTTAGTCTCTTTATTAGTCCATGCAGTTTGGTGGCCTGGTAAATGCAAGTCTTATTTTTAACAGCTTTTTTTTTTTTTTTAAATACAAAACCATAAAGCTTTAATGCTTGCTATTTAATAAGTAACTGTGTTTTCTTCTGTCTCTAATTTAGTGGCCATAATTTGCAGTTAATTGAACCATTCCAACCTAATGCTTACCCATATTTCCTAGTTTTGTTTTATTTATTTATTTGAACTTCTTGTTTTCATGATTGAGGACTTTCACTTCTGTCTCATTCATCTGTTTGGAAACTTCTGACCTTACAGCCAAAACTTAACTCATTCTATTCAGTATTCATCGTGATGCTGAAGTGTAAGATACCTGCAAATGTAAACACTACCACTTTTATTAATAAAAGCAAATACAGTGTTTTAGGGCACATTTGCATCACTATAGTTGAGGTTGTGTCAGTATTTCCATTATAAACCCATAGAGGGTCTATATCTTGGCACTAAATTGCCCGAAGCTAAATCTTTGCCATACAAGGCTTCTGCTCAAGCATGATTTGATGGGTTGGTTTTTAAACAGTTTCCAACAAAAACTCTTGTTTCTATTTTAAGTTATACAACTGTTTTGTTGGATGGGGGTTGGTTTAAAAAAAAAAAAAAACACAACAAAAAAACCCAACAAAACCAACAAACAAACCTGGTTCAAGATTGTTTTTGGCACTTCTGTAACTCAGAAATGGTTTTGATTTTAAAACATAACCTTTGGCAAGCCAGTAACCTACAATATGGTCTGATCACTTTGGGTATTTTGTAAAAAATAATAATAAATTGTAGAGATGTTGTGGTTTCAAAATCAGCTACTGTGCATTTGCAGTAACTTATTTCAACCCAAGAACTTTTAGTATTTTGTACATCAGTACACGTATTCAGCAGCCAGTGTGGTGCAGCAGGGTAGCGATAACTCTGGAAGGGTTTTTGTTTTTTTTTAATAATGTGGAGTGGTAAATCCGCTACAGTCTAAAAAAATATTCGGCTGCTCATGAAAGCATCAAAAACTGCTCTCTTAGAGGCTGAAACTGGAGCTCTAAGTTGTTAGGAGCAGACTTTGATGCCCAAGGATAGATACGAAGGCATGCTGGACCCGTTGTCACAGACTGGAGCCCTGAAGGCTTATCTTCATTTAGCTAAAACCTGTTTTGAATCATAGCATCGAGGATAGGATTTAACTTAGAGTATGTCATTAACTCCACAGGAACTGAAGCTAATTCTGTTCCAGCGTGTTGCACATAATTGATACCTGCAGGATAATTTCCTTTTACCAGTAAATCTATGCACAGAAATACTAATGTACATCACCTTAGAATCTGAGCACCTTGTAATTAGTCGTGGCGCAATATTCCTGTAAATGATGTAGGATGTTTTGTATTATATCCTATTTTCCAATGTCAAAAATTACGTACCAGGAAAAACAAAAGACGTAAACATGATTACACCGAAAATTGACCGCAAATACAGAGGTAGATCCCATGACAGCTGAGTACCAATCCAGTGCCTTAGCGATAATACTGCTGGTGGTGGTGCTATACAAATGTCTAAGATTGATAAAGTTGCTGTGAGTTATAAAATTAAGTAATGTACTCTGGAAGAGAGTAAGTTCTCTTCTTTCCCCAGCTGCATCTAATATGCTGTGTGTATTTCTAACCATGCTGGCACTCATGAGACCTCTTTTATGGAAGTAGATGATAAAATTCCTGCCAACTGTCAGCAGCAGGATCGGGGCCGTAGATTGCCGTCAGTGGGAATCTCACACGGGAGCAGGTCCTCAGCCCTAAAGTACATGTTGAGTTTGAGTTGTATACCAGTAAAAATATCTACAAGCAAACCTCTGTTTGTGGTCCAAAACCAAAACTGTACCCTTCTTCCTCAGCTTGGTATTTCTGAAAAGTCATCTGTTGGGAAAAAGTCTGTCTGCCCTACAACAAACTTTGAGGTCTCCTTGTAAATAAAATAAGCTACGAAGTGGGTTTCTGAGCCTCTGCTGATGAAAGCCGTTACACTGAAAAATCTCTCTAGTGACTGACAAGATAGAAATCCCAGGAGTGAACCTATTTTAATCCCGGTCATAACCACTTAGCTTAAATACTGTGAGCAACTGCTTCAGTTGCTAGGTAGGTAAAATGCTTGAGAGTATTTCACTGTACTGCAGAGGTTGCTAAAATTTCAGCCATGAGTACCGGCTTCATAATTAAGTGTTTTCAACCCGTTTCTTACCTTATTAAAAGTTAAAACTGCTTTTTACCCTGCCTATTTTTAATATACTGAGCTGAGCAAAATGGGTGCAGTTTGAAGCACAAAGTCTACTTGGAAAAGCAACTTGGGAGGAGGTGAGGAGGCAAACGAATCCCTCACTGTGTTAAACAGAAAAAGAGTAAGGTGGGGTTTTTTTTCTAACTTCTGAGCCCGATAAACTTAGCCTGGTTCTGTGGAAGAAATGGGCAGTTCTTTAGGTTAACAACAGTCAGTGCTCATTGATACCTCTGCAACAAGGGCCAACTGACCAAATATGTAATGGATAATTTTCTTAAGAAAAACACCACCACCACCAAACCAGAATTTACAGGTTTTCTTGATTTTTTTCACTTAGGAAGTCTGCCTCAAAAATCTTTATTTTAATGACAGGACAAAATAAAGCCTTTAAACATTGTCCCAAGTAAAGAGAGAATAATACATTTTTGAGGGAGAAGATGCTGACGTTAGGGGGGGTTATGTAACATAACATGCCCTCTAAGGCTGGGGTACCAGTAGGCAAATGTAAGCAAATCCAAAATTAATATGTGAATGTATCTCTTCACTTTAATTTACGCAGTTGTTTTATTAAATGAGTTGGCTAATACTTTTTTTTTTTTTAATATACTACTAACATTTGGAGAAAGAACAAGCTTAGGAGGGAGGTGGTAATGTTGGAAATTCAGTTCTGTTATGCAAACTAATGTTTTTAGGCTGTGAATTTTATGTGAATTATTAATAGTGAAGTACAGTGTTTCTATTTGTAGTTCTCCGGTATTTGATATGACTTTGGGATTGTATCATTCTTGCAGCTAAAATGCTAGAGCGCCAGCAGAGATCAGGCAGAGGACGGAGCTGCTGTCTAAGGGTTATGAGTTACCGCATCGGGCGTGGGACTGTACGGCTGCTTAGGGAGGGGGCCTGTTCTAGTTCCTTTTCACGACACGATCAGTTTTCTGTTGGCAGGATGAGAAGAGCTTCCATGAAAAGACAAATGAAGGGGTTGGGTGATAGAACCAAATACGTGTGTAAGACCTCAAAGTATTAATGAAAGGTGTTTCAAACTTGTATTAAGCTAGAGCCAGCATGTCTTTCCTGACGTGTGCGTGTGGTGATTCATATGTATCTCAGTATTTTTAATCTCCATTCTCTTTTTGCTTGAAGGCACAACATCCAAAATGAAGTAACAGATTTCATGAAAGCTTTGGTGCTAACCTTGAGTTCTGTTTCCCACAGGGCAAAATTCTGCTGGGCTACAAAAGTTCATCAGTGTAAGACAGTCTGGAAGCCCAGTGCCGCCACAAGCAACGGCTCTTGTTAACTTATTTGTGATTTAAAACTTACAACCAATTGGTCTGTCCAACATCGTGACCCAAAACCTGCTACCTTTGAATTCAGCTACTTCCTCCTGTCCTCACCCCCCCACCCCACCTACGCTTACAACGTATGTGGTTGATAGAACAGAGCAGCTATGAAAGGAAGTTATGAGACAACCTCACTGAAGGTTCAAGGGAACTAGGGAAAGCTAGATAAACAGGACTCCTAAATCCATCACCTTGGATGTTGAAAAATATATATATGGGGGAAATTCATCATTCCCCAGGTAAGTGACCCAGTTTGGGATCCTTATACAAATTGTTAAGGTAGAGAATGTAGTTATCTAAAAGGCCAGGACATCTCCAACTAAGGAACTGCAAAAAAAAATGCACTTACTACAGACAGATAGAACTGGGAGTCACTTCAGTGAAGTGTAAGTTTTAACGATCGGTATACAAATCAACTGGAACTCGTTTTGAAGCAAGAAAATGTTTCCACTAGAGGCTCATCTTGGAAAGTCCTTGGGGTTTTGTGAGGCTGCACTTTGAAGCAATCCACAGTATATAGATACAGTTCCAACTTTTAAGTTGATGTTTGAAGGAGACTAGAATGACATTATGTCAGCAACCTAAAACCCACCTTGTTTTGTCTCAGAATACTTCTCAGTTACCTAGCAAAGTGTCATGGTGTTCAATGTCTGGAATAAAACTACTATCAGTACTCACAAATCTCAAGGTGCAAACAAAAATGTTTGATCTTGAGGTTCTGCTTGAGAAGGAAGAACTCTTTAGCCAAAACTCATTAGCCTAACAATGCTGCTGTAATTTCCTACTCAATTTGAAAGTTATTACCTTATCTAGTTGAATGTATTGGCTGATTTGTAAAGGGCTAACAATTACAAAATACAAATTTATGCTAAAAGAATTTGTAGAGGGCAAGGAGCAGAGGTAATTAGCATACAGAGAATGCCAGGGTGGATATTTTTAAGAAAACATGAATAAAAGGAAAACAACTTTGTCAGAAGTCGGCTCTTCTGTTTGGGATTTTTCTTTTATTCTAGGAAGGAGCCAGATAAAGTTGGATGAGTTCATCAGCTGTATTATATTCAGCCCTTCTTTAGGTAGGAAATCTTGAAGCATAGTTGTTATTTGCTCAAAAATCAAGCAACAAATTTTGATAGTTGGGTGGAATCGAAACTTGAGCATTTGGTATTTGGTTTATTC